CCCTCCTTCCTTTCTCTCTCTCTCTCTCTCTCTCTCTCTCTCTGTCTCTGTCTCTCTCTCTCTCTCTCTCTCTCTCTTTCATGAGTGTCCTCGAACTCTTTCTGTAGACCAGGCTCAAACTCACAGAGATCTGCCTGCCTGGGCCTCCCAAGTGCTGGAATTAAAGGCATGTGCCACCACCGCCTGGCTTTATTCTTTGTTTTATTGGTGATTGCTTTCTTTTGTTTTTATTTCTTTAATTTTTTTTAAAAAACTACAGGATACAACTTAAGATTTGTTTATTTTTTTTCTTTATGTATACGAGTGTGTCACCTTTGTAAGTCTATGAATCATGTGCATGCAGTTCCCTCACTGGCCAAAAGAGGGAGTCCACTGAAACTGGAGTTACAGGGAACTTAACTTGGGCCCTCTGCCAAGGCACCCAGAACTCTTAACCACTAAGCCATCTCTCCTGTCGCTGTGGTCTTGGACTCCTAATTCTTCTGCCACCACCTGTCATGTGCTCAGTCAGATTGCAGGTGTCCACCGCTGCACATAGTTCACCCACTCGCTTGTATTGGCACAATCCTCCTGGCCTTAGGGACCACTATGCGTGTTTTAGTACTTATATCCATAGCTGGTGTTGGTAGCCATACTTCATGAAATTACTCCCTCTAGGACATCTTTAGGAGATCTGAGTTATCTGTAGATTAGCCACAATGATAGCATATGTGTAATAGAACCTGGAAAATGCCCCTCACCCCCACTTGGTCCTCCAAGGGCTCCAATAGGAGTTAACTAACTTGCACTTCTGATGACACCAGATTCCCCTGAGTCAGGGATTCTCAATCCAGGCTACATAATAGAATCATCCAGGGAGGTTTTGAAAAAAGAAAAAAACTGTCTGGGCCCACGTCCAAAGGCTGATTGAGTTGTTGTGCTTTTTCTGGTTTTTTTTTTTTTTTTTTTTTCTGTGCCAGGGATGGAACCCTGGGGCCCATGCATGCTAAGCAAGTGGTCTACCACTGAGCTTCTGATTGAGCTGTTTTATGCAGGAATATTTCCTGTCTAATAGGCAGCCCCAGAGGCTCAGGCTTTTTCTCCATGTGAGCCTCTTCCAACTTCCTCCTGCCCAGTCTCAGTTTCCTACATTTTAGAACAAATTGCCAAATACTTTTAACCACGGGTTTGTTTGATTTTTTAAAAGATCTGCTTTTATTTATGTGTGTCTATGGGTCACGTGTGTGAGTGAGCCCTCAGAGACTAGAAGAGGGTACCAGATCCTCTAGAACTGGAGTTACAGACAATTGTGGGCTGCTTAACCTGGACGCTTGGAACCAAACTCGGGTCCTCTGGAGGAGTAACTAGCCCTCTCACCACTGAGCCATCTCTCCAGCCTTTAACTGCAGTATGAAATAAACTTGCTAAGAGGCCAAATGAATGTTAATTTGAAAATATCTGAACCTTGAAATGGCTCAGCGGGTAAGTCCTTGCTGCCAAACCTGCTGACCTGAGTTCAATCCCTGAAACCCAAATGGTGGAAGAAGAAAGATAAATCTTGCAGGTTTTTATCTTTGAACTACTCCTTAAGAAGTAAATGCTAGGGGCAATCCGCAGCCAGCCGTGCTTAGGCCGAGAGGCTTTCTGTCCCAGGGCCCCGAGACTGTCCTGCTGGTCCGACATTAGCCAGGGTCATGGTGGAACGGGCTAAGTCTGTGTCTTTCCTAGCCCGGGCTCACGGGGCTGCAGAGGGACGGGGGTGGGGGAGATGGGGGGGTGGAATTGGCGATGCCGTTGATTAAATAGTCCGGAATCATCCGCTGGTTAGCCCCACCCCCACCCCCGCCAGACCGAGGGGTTCAGCAATGCGAGGACCGCCCTTGTTTGCAGCCATAATGAAGTTCAATCCGTTTGTGACTTCTGGCCGGAGCAAGAACCGCAAATGGCATTTCAATGCACCTTCTCACATTCGGAGGAAGATCATGTCTTCCCCCCTTTTCAAAGAGCTGAGACAGAAGTACAATGTTCGCTCGATGCCCATTCGAAAGGATGACGAAGTTCAGGTTGTCCGGGGACACTACAAAGGCCAGCAGATAGGCAAAGTGGTCCAAGTGTACAGGAAGAAATACGTCATCTATATTGAACGGGTACAGCAAGAAAAGGCTAATGGCACAGCTATCCACGTGGGCATCCACCCCAGCAAGGTGGTGATCACCAGGCTAAAGCTGGACAAAGACCTAAAGAAGATCCTGGAAAGGAAAGCCAAGTCTCGGCAATAGGAAAGGAGAAGGGCATATACAAGGAAGAAGCGATTGAGAAGATGCAGGGGTAGGGGCGTCTCATACAGTTTTCATTAACGACTGCTTGAGGAAAAAAAAAGTAAATGCTATTTTATATGTGATGGTTTGAATGAGAAATGTCCCTCAGAGGCCCATGTGCTTGAACACTTGATGACCAGTTGGTGGTGCCCTTTGGGGAGTTTACGAGGCCTTTAGGAGGGACATCCTTGTCACTGGGGGCAAGCTTTGAGTGTTTACACCCTTGCTCACTTCCTGTTCTCTCTGCTTTCTGTGCGTGTAAATGCAATCAGCTCCTGAGCCCGTCTCTGTGTAGTTCACACCAGCACTTGCAGCTGCGTTTCCATGTTGCCAAGCGATCGACATAGTTCAAGAAGCCGTCATTCAATGGAAGGAAGAAATGAAAGCGAAACATACGTATGATAGTGGAATTTGATTCAACTCTCCCAGGAAGGAAATTCAGGAATTCGGACACATACGACAACAGAGATGGACCTTGAAGTCTTATATAGGCAAGACAGAAAAGACAAACACTCTATGGCCTCGCCCTTTAGAGTTGAATAAATAAAGTAGAAAAGCAGAAATTGTCCAACTAGTGAGATTCACAAAGGCATCTCCACAATGCGCTAGAGTCTTTCTGCTCACCTATGAGCAAGTTTCCTTCTATAGCCCTATTCCACATAAAGGCCGCTCACTTCAAAATGAAGAGGATTTTTTTAAAAAAGAAAACAAACTATCTTTTTTTCATTTTACATACCAATCCCAGTTCACACTCCCTCCTCTCCTTCCATTCCCTCCACCTTCCCCCCACCCCACCCCTCATCCACTCCTCAGAGAGGGCAAGGCACATTGCTCTGGGGAAGGTCCAAGGCCCTTCCTACTATATCTAGGCTGAGCAAGGTATCCATTCAAAGAGAATGGGATCCCAAAAGGCCAGTACAAGCAGCAGGGATAAATCCTGGCATCACTGTCAGTGGCCTCACAGTCTGCCCCAGTCATACAACTGTCATCCACATTCAGAGGGTCTAGTTCCTTTCCTGTCTGGTTGGAGTTGGTGAGCAACCATTAGCTCAGGTAGACTGTTTCAGTGGGTATCCCCATCATGGTCTTGACCACTCTGCTCATATTCTTCTCCCACTCTTCAACTGGACTTTGAAAGCTCAGTCCAGTGCTCCGCTGCAGGTCTCGGCTTCTGTTTCCATCAGTTTCTGGATGAATCATGAAGTTTAAGATATTCATCAATCTGATTACAGGGCAAGGCCAGTTTAGGCATCCTCTCATGAAGATGCTTTTTAATGGACATATTCCCTTCATCTCCATCCCTCAACAATTGGCTCAACTGACATTAAGACTCTCATCCTCCTCATTTTATGCCCCATCTACCAATATCAACCTTCTTCCCTCCTCGTCATGTGTGTGTGTGTTGTGGTTCTGGTACCCTACTTTTTCCTCCTTAGCCTCCAATTTGAATGAGGACTTCTAAGAGCTTCTCTTTCCTTCTTTCCTTTTCTTCTTAGTTGGGCCTTGGGGAATCATTATCCCTAATAGCCAAGTCTACATTTTAGGGTTTTCTTATTGGCCACAGTTGACCACCAGGATGAGTTCCCACCAAGAAGAAACATCATCCAAGATGATGCATCTGACAGTGCAGATGTAGAGTGTCACTATGGATACGTGTACAACTTTATACCTCCCTCATTGTTCTTCTTTCATGTCAACATTCATTCACTTATTTAAAGCTAGATAGACAGATTGACTGGCTTATGGATTCAGCTACTACTATATTATGCCATATACTTTATTATAGGCTAGGTATAAAACAGACTTGAATGCCTGCTGTTATAGAGCCTGTACTAGTGGGGACAGTTTAAACAATCAAGAATGAAAGTATATAGGAATGTTAGATGGTAATAAAAGCAAAGAAAAATAGTAAAGGAGAGAACGGGGTAAGGAGAGAGGGAGAAAAGAGGGGAATTGGGAGAGAGGGGGTGGAGAGAGAGGGGGGGGGGCAGCGTCTTAGAGGGGCGAGGGAAGGTTCCTCTAAGGACATGTTTTAAGGAAGACCTGCAGGAGGAGAGAAACCAAGTCTTAGACGTGTTTGAGGGAAAAGGATGTTCCAGGCAGCAGCGGCTTCTATACAAGGGAAGAATCCAGATGAGTTCATCATGCGTGTGCTCCAGAAGGAAGAGCAGTGTGGGTGGAAATACAGAGGGTGGGAGAACATCGCACAGGGAGACAGGAAGCACACGTGGGCCGCCTTCCCTTTGACACGATTTGACACTCGTTTGGAAGCTCATGCTGGCTTACAGTGCTGATGGAGCTGTGATGGCTTCAAAAGTGTTGGGACTACTTAGGAGGATATTGCAATAACCCAGGTGAGAGATGGTGGCGGTTTAGGCCATGACCAGAGTACAGTTGAGATGGTGAAAGGAAATATACCTCAACATGTTGGGTAAGTAGCCTCAGTAGGCCAATGTCTGTGGAGCTAATGAGTGAGCTGTTGAGGCGATCTGGCTGGACTGTAATGTTCAATAACAACACTCTCTCAATTTTTCAATCTCTGTCCAGTTAAAATAGATAACAGTAGCAATGCCTACATTTTCAGAAGAGGAAATCTAAGCTCAGACAAGTTAGATTTACTTACATTCACATCATGTATCTATAAAAGGAGAAACCAAGGTTTATTTCCAGACATAGCTAGTCAGAATCAAACAGAATCAAAACTTAAATTATCATTACTTAATAATAAGTTTTCCAAGACAGATGCAAAATATAATAATTTAGTTGAACTTTGTTTTTAGGCCATTGTAAAGGTAAATCCAAATAAGAAAGAAAGGTATATCCACAGAATAATGAAATCTATCCTTTTAGTCAGGGGTGGTACATGCCTATAATCTCAGCAGTCTGGAGACTGAGGCAGGGGGATTGACATACGTACGTTCAAGGACAGTCTGGGCTACACAATGAGTGCCAGGCCAGTAACAGCTAAAGAATGAAGCCTTAAAGAAAAGAAAAAAGGAAGAAAGAGAAAGAAAACTACTCCTCCGGCCTCCTTCCCATCACTCACTAAACTAACGTGCTGTGCACCCAAGTGGGAACACCAGGCAGCTATACCTCCCGAGAGCAGGACAACACATTACAGAGAGTGAGCAGGCTGGGAGCTGACAATGACTATGAGGAAGCTTTCTTTCTGGGCTAATTTGTACAGCCAGACTAATAATTGATATATGGGAGCTGCCCACATATGGGGAGGTTGTATTCTGAGGGTATAACTCATGCGTCACCTGGTTTTATTCATCCTGGACGCTCTTCTTTGATGCATTTTCAGCCTCCTTTCAGGGCACCCTCCACTTACAGCTCAGCGTCAGTTCACCGAGTTTGTCTTGTGTTTTGTACGCTTTGGCTGCAGGCCTTGCTCCGATTCTCAGCTATTGTGTTCATCTCTTTTCCACAATTCAGGGGATCAGTGAGCAGTTTCTCAGGCAACACGGCTGTTGATCTATTTATATGCCTAGGTCCTTCCCTTTCAATTTTTTGTTTTGAAATAGCTACCACCACCACCCACATCTGTCCTGGCTTTCCGTATCCATTTTGAGCTCAACAGTTGAAAATTCTGACATGCACTTTTCCACTATCACAGCTGTGGGCCTGGCAGAAGCCAGCGACAGAGTTTTTGAACAAAAAAGAATATGAGCTTTATAGTCAGCATCCCTGAGCAGTAAGATTAGACATGAGTGAATATTATAAACCTGATGTATGACTCAGAGCAGGGCTCAAGGCAGAGCATCTTCTTCCTTTGTCTCCGAGCAGCAGGTGAACAAAGTGTACTGACAGTTTTCCTCCTGGATCCTGACCCAGAATTGTGCACACAGCCTTCTTATTCTTTTTTTGTTTCTTTTTGTTTTTTTGAGACAGGGTTTCTCTGTAGCTTTGGAACATGTCCTGAAACTAGCTCTTGTAGACCAGGCTGGCCTCGAACTCAGACAGATTCGTCTGCCTCTGCCTCCCAAGTGCTGGGATTAAAGGCGTGCGCCACCACCACCCAGCACACATAGCCTTCTTGAGGATGTCTAGCATTTCACACTGTCAGCAACGATGGGAAAGTATACAGGAAGTTATCACAGACTCTCAAGTGACATCCGCATTGGCCCTTAAGTGAAAGGCCAGGGTAGCATGTTGACACCAGGACATAAAGGAGGAAGGGACCATTTGTGGGGCATAATAATAACTGGACACTGCTAGTCACTTCATGGTATTAAGCTTTCGACTCTCTAACCTGAACAATCAATCATAATCCCAGCTACTTGGGTGGCTGAGGCAGGAGGATATCAAGCTTCAGGTTTGTCTGTGCTTCTTAGAGAGATCTAGTCTCAAAGTAAGAGAGGTCTAGAGTCACAGCTTAATGTAGAGCGCATGCCTTGTATGGGAAAGGCCCTGGATTCATCTCTAACACCAAAAATAAATAGTAAGTTAGCAAATATATTAAATTCTGAAATCCGAAAGGTTTCTTTTTAAGTGCTAACACAATAGGAACCATGGAAAATTCCACATGTAACCTTGTGTGATGAGTTGCAGACACAGTAAGAATGCCAGCTAAAGTTACCTCCAGGGGCGGTGAGATGGTTCATTTGCTAAAGCTACTTGCTGCCAAATCTGAGGACCTGAATTCATATTTCAGGGCTTGCATTGCAGAAAAAGTGTAGGGGCTCCCACAGGCTGTCCTCTAACCTCCATATGTGTGTGGTAACATGAACACAAAGAAAATAAACAAATGAAAAAATTTCATTGTCTTTTATTTATATAAGGAATATATGCAACATCAGGGAATTTCATGTTAGGCCTCTGATCCCATCCCAAAGCTACTGATTATGCATAAGCTCCAACCTCTGGGCATTACAATATGATGTCATCTGCAGATGTGTAGGGATGCATTCTCAGCTATCCTGGGACATTTTTGACCAACGGCCACAGGGTGAATACAC